CACAAAGTAGGTAAACACATTTGGAGACAATAGAGTGATTCCGTACGAGTGCTTCACTTTGAGAGGCATGAGTTTGTCCTTTGTGTGTAGAAAGATGAGAAAAAAACTAATCTTGGTTAATAAGATTCATTTTATCGCTGATACTAGAATAACACTAGGGTTTCTTCAGTGTATGCTGAATCTTGAGTAGATTTCACACATGCGTACATAGGCTTGTTATCACTGAAACTGCATCAGATCACGAACTATTTGTCTCTATTTTCAGCTTTATCTTCGATATCACTGAAGATTCTTGTGGTGTGAGTTATGTCTTCTTGAAGAATACTTGTCTATGAGAGAAACAATACTTGTTTAGCAATCACTGAACAGACTCAGTGATGATCGCTAAAACTAAATAAAGAGAAAGTACTTTCGTAAGATAAAAAGAATCATCATCAAATTACTGAGAGAGAGGATCAACAATATTCCCCTATTTGATGATGACAAAGCAATATAAAGAAAATTTCTTAGGTATTACAGTAAGGAAAAGGTACAAGTAATATATGCATGTCCATTTTAATTGTTTTGGGATCTTTTGCAGTGATAGAGTTTATTATGAAAATTTACTTTAATTATGAAAGATTACAAGGAAATAATAAACTTACATATTATGAATAACTTATAACTAAAAGCATTTTCACTAATAGGAAAGGTGTTAGAGAATATAAGAAATAAATGGAAATCACAAGTACATGTCTCATTTACTCTTTTGATGGATCTTTTTTAAGTGAATCAGTCATTTTGTTGATAATATCTTTAAAGACAAAATATTACAAATAATTACGATTGGTTTTGGTAGGCTTAAAACATAAAAGCTATACACTGAAAGAAAAGATAAAAGATATACAAGTTTTACAATATTGAATGGTTTTCTAATCTAGATTGTCGAAGTTGATGTAGTCAGAGACATCTACTCCTTGAATCTTTCTTCTGAGCAGTTCCTTTCAAATCTTTTGGTCCATCATCTCTTCACAGATGTCTTTGTTCATCTATGTTTGAAGATACGCAATGTGATCTACTGGGCAGAGATGGAACTGAGCACTCGATGAAACCTTTACTGACCATCATAATCAATGAACATAAGTCCATATTCAGGTTTCTCATGCACTATATTGGGATTTAAGGGTCCATTTTCAAGCAGTAATAGATTCAACATTGAGATATCTGGCTTCTTCCTGTTCTTGAAGAGCTCATCTACTGAAAATTTTGTTTCATGCTCATTTCTTTGGGATGAACCTTCTCCAGGTTCGAAAAGGTTTCTTCTTCGAGAGGACTTCTGTAGAAGAGGAGTAACCTCGACGATCTTCGATACTTTGTTGAATACTTAATTTTGAGCTTCTTTAATATAAGCCTTATGCTTAGATTTGAACTTCAGAATTACCAGTCAAATCTTGAGCCATTCATAGAAACCATACTAACTAAGTAAGGAAGGATACTCAGTGACAACATCGTTATTCTCTCGGAAGATGACCATAAAAACCAGAAGGCCACCATCTTTCATTCGTCTTCTAATTGTGACGTTTAAAATTTTGTGAGGGCTCATTCTTGTTTTGATACATTCTCTGCACCAATTCAGATCCTGATTGTTCAGCTTTAACACCTTTTGTCTTTTCTGTTCAGCTTCTTCTAAGAGTAGGGCTTGAGCATTAAGAGGATCTTTTTTCTTGAACATCCCTTCTGCAAAAGCTTGATCAACTAGAGTCATGGCTAACTCCAGGCTGTCTTTCAGTTGCTGTTGATGTTGCTTCAGCTTTCAGGGATTCCTTGCGTTCAGCTTCAGAGAGGAAGTCGAACGCACCACTCCAGGGTATGAAGAGGAATTTTTACTCTTGATTGGTCAAGTTGACTTATAAGTTGAGTTATACTCAAGACTTCTTCAACCTCTGATGTAACACCTGAAATTTTTCCCATTCTCTACTTCGTTTGCATCAAGAGTTTTCGTCTCGTCTGTAAGGTACACGTTTTTATTTATAATAGGAACTTAGAGCATGTTACTTTATTGTGCCTTTCAAAACAATATATATATATATATATGTGTGTGTGTGTGTGTACATATATATTGTGACTGAAATGTGTGGTTGAGGTGTGTAAGAAAAAGGGGGTGGGTGGTTAGCTGCTACCTTTTATCTTAGCCTTTGGACCTTTGGGGAATGATCCATCCTCTTATTTTTGGGTCCTTACCAGTTAATTCTTCTTATGGTAAGAAAAATAGGGAAGTGGGTAGGGGTGAGGGCTTTACCTGATAAATAAAGGAAGGGGGGAGGGTTGCTCCATGGCAGAAAAAGAAAAAAGAATAGAGGGAGTTTGAAGAAAAAACAGTAGCCGTTGTTTAAGAGAGAATAGGAGGATCGGTGGCTTCAAAACAAAGAGTAACATTCGGGAAGAAGTAGCAGCTGCCGGTACGACCTTCTTAGCGCGGGCCAAGCCTGCAAGCCCTCTAACCATGGCTACCTGCATGATCCTCTAACCGTGGCTGCCTGCACGCCCTCCAGCCCGTGACTGCTGTGTTTGCCTCCAACCATGACTGCTGTGCTTATCTCCAGCCGTGGCCACCTGCGTATACCTCCAGCTACGCCTCCCTGCCCCTCGGCTCCTCCGCATCTTGGACTGCACCACACAGCAACAGCGGTAGCTGCTGTGTCGTGCCTGCACCTTGCACTGCTGTGCCGTACCCTGGATCAAACCAGAAAGCAGCAACAGTAGTTGATGTATCGTCCCCGCGCCTTGCGCTGCTATGCCGTACCCTGCACTGCACCAGACAGCAACAACAGTAGCTGTTGTACCCTACGCCTCTTCCTTCTTTCCCCTTCAGTCTTCATCTACTATTATCTCTTGTCTAGGAGAGCTACCCTGCTGTATTAGACCTCTTTTCCATCTTCCAATTAGCTTCAAGATTTTAGGATTTCTCCTAAATCCTAGGAGGCGAGTTCACCCTATTCCTATTTATGAAACCTTATATCAATTGAAATGATGTATTATACTTACTTCTTACGTTAATTTTATAAAAATCACTTGCTTGGATGGAAATGGAAATTTCTTTTAGGTATAAGAGTGAACTTAGGAACCCCGTCTATAATGAAAAGATGAGTTGAGAATATGGATTTGAGCCCTTGGTAAAACACTCAGTTCAAAGTATTGTTAGCCATAAGACACTAACACCTTTATGTTCTACATTCGGAGTTTTATTGGTAAATGGGAATACTTCATTTGATTAAGGATTCATGTAAAATCTTAGGGGGCGTTTGGTTCGTAGAATGGAATTAGATGGAATTGGAATTCATCAAATGAATTTGACTTTGAGGGAATGGAATRGAATCTGATGGAATTTGACCATGCCTTGTGATTGCGTTTGGTTGCATGGAATTGGATTAGGGAAGGAATCTGTAAGAAATGAATTGAAATCCTAGCATATTGCCATGGAATTGTAAAATCTGTGCATGAAGGAATCGACTGGAATTGAAAGGATTACATAGTCTTATTCCATGAACCAAACACTCTATTTGGAATTTGGTCAAAGTATTGGACATTCCAATTCCTTTCATTTCCTTTCATTTCCCATGATCCAAACAGCCCCTTAGTGATGAATAAATGTTTATATGCTTAAGATGACGTATTTGAGCATGTCACTAAAATGTAATGGGATTGTAGACATGAATGTCGTTTTATTTTATTCGTGAGAATGATGGTGTAAGTTGGAAATAGGCATTGTGATTATTATGTAATTACCAAATCATCATTCTCATTTCCACTCAGAAATTGGCCTTGTGATTATTATATAATTTCTGAGATAAAGAGCTTAAGATCACGGACGACTACATGACTGGTTTAGGTTGATGTCAATGGTATTAAACCTGTAAGTGATGCTCTATAACGTTGATATTATGACTTACTTCGTGTTCCGTCATAATCAACGGTAAATCGGGTCTCCCCCGTCATCTTCGAATGTTGTGGCTAAACCACGTGATAGTTAGAACTGTTTATTTCTTTTATCGTTTAAAGTTACGTTTCATATTTATATATATATATATATATATAGGTTTTATAGTATGTTCATTTCACTGTATGGACTCACTAGGCGTAAGCCTAACACTTTTTCTTGATATGGCTTGTTTACCAGGTTCCATTAGCGGCAGCGCTAAAAAGGGTTGAGGGATCGTTGTTTTGTAAGTCTTCTTTTGGATAAAGTTTTTAGTGCTTTGAGCGTTACAACACTCGATAATACAACATTTTGTTGGAGACGGTAGAAACACCCGTTCTTAATCTAGGCATATAATTGTTTAGATTAATAGGTTGTTATTTATCGTCCCATTAGTTGTTTCATAAACGCTTTACTTTTCCCCTATGTTTGGGTGAATTCTCATTAAATTCTAGATCCTGCCTTGCGTTTTTGAGTTCAATTTATCTCCTACCTTATTGTTCTTTTTAGAGGGTTACAAGTTGGTATCAGAGTGCTAGTTTAAGCGAACTAGGTAAGGAATTTAGATGCCTAGACTTAAGTTGAGTTTGTAAGTATTAATTGTGTGAGGTGGGTAGAAACTTTGAAGATAGGAGGACTTTAGAGTCATCGGAGGTACACAATTCATGAATTGTGACAATGGTGTTGAGGATTCTTATGTATAACCTATTCGAAATTTCACTTAGCTAATGCTATTTTGAGTATGTTGTTACATAAGCGTGCTTGAACTCACTATTATTACAAGGATTTTCAAATGTGTCGGTATGTATTATGTTAATTCCATATTCCTTCTATCCTAACTCTCTTTCGCTCTCTTGAATGACAGATTAAAATGGTGAATACTCGGAGTAGATGGGATACCTCACCGAAAGCTCACGCGGTGACTGAATCTACCACGGATCAACCTCCATGAACCACCATCGCAAGGGCTTATCCTAGGCAAGACACCTTGGGCAGTGGAGTTGACCACGTTCCCTAAGTTGGCCTTGCCGTCTCTAATCCCGTAATGGAAGAGGAAACCCCGGAGTCCAGAATGATGGGCACAATGATGGATGCTATGAATAGAGCCATGGTCCAACAACAAGAGTTCTTTATGAACTTACTGGAGGATAGAGACACTAACAATCGTAAGCATGAAGCGATTGCCGAGAACGTAACTATTGTGGGATCTGAGGGTACCGGAAATGGAATCCCAACCTAGGAGTTAGCAACGATTGAGGCAAGACAAGTGGGTAGGGTTTGCTCCTACAAGACGTTACTGAGTTGCAAGCCACCAGAATTTGTAGGGTCAGATGATCCCGTAGCATGCATGAACTGGCTTCGAGAGATCGAACAAGCCTTCCGGGCTTGTGACTATGATGAGGGACAAAAAGAAAAATTTGGCTCTCAAATACTAAGGGGTGCAGCCCTTACCTGGTGGAACATTGTCATATCAACCATAGAGGTTAAGGAATTGGCCAAGATGAGTTGGGCCACGTTTAAGAAGAAGGTAATGGAGGAATTTTGCAACGAACAAGAGATGGACCGCATTGAAGAAGAATTCCGAACCCTCAAGCAAGGAAATTCATTGGTAAGAGACTACACACGACTTTTCATGGAAAAGTTGAACTTAGTGGGGTACGTGGCCCCAGCGGAGAAGAAAAGGATGAAAGCCTACCTCAAAGGATTGTCTGCAGACATGATGGTGATGGTCAGGAAATCCAGAGCCTCCACCCTTAGGGAGGCAATCGAAGAGGCAAAAGTAATGGAATCAGTTTATGTTAAAGGAAGGGAAGAAAGAATGTCAAGTGATGAGAAGAAGAAATGGGAAGGACATTATGCGCCCTCCAAAAGGCTAAACCATTTCAACAGTAACAATCGTGGAGCCTATCCTAGACAAGAGACTAGATGGTGTCCCAAGTGCTACAGTAAACATCACGGCCTGTGTGTCACCAACCCTACTCCCACAAGGTGCTTTAAATGTGAGAAGGCAGGCCACACACAAAATGAGTGTCCGATCAAGGGACCCATCTGTTTTGGATGTGGAGAGTCGGGTCATTTCAAGAATGATTGCCTAAAGATAAAGGGGGAGGGGGCCAGGGAAGAAAATAAAGTACCCCGAAAGCAGCCGGCCGAGCCTTTCAGATGACTGCTGAAGAAGCTAAGGCATTGATGGATGTAGTGTCGGGTACGTTCCTTATTAGCTCTGTACCTACACACGTACTTTTTGATTCAGGTGCTTCATGTTCCTTTGTGTCTACTACATTCCATCAACATGTGCATACGCCCCCTAGTGCACTAAAGGATGCATTGATCATAGAGATAGCAAATGGTAGTCAAGTTCTGGTGCGTGAAATTGTTAGGAGTTGCGTGTTGGGAATTGAGGGAAAGGAATTTCGGGTAGATCTCATACCCATGGTTATAAGTGGATTCAATGTCATAATTAGGATAGATTGGTTGGTAGAGAACCAAGCAGAGATCTTATGCTATAAAAAGTTGATCTGAATCCCTTTGCCGGACGGGGACGCAGTGCTAGTTTACGGAGAAGGAAGGAAAGGAAATGTAGTACTCTTATCCACAGCAAAGGCGCGTAAGTGTCTAGCTAAGTGATGCTCCTCGTTCATTGCATACGTGTTGGATAACAAACCAGAGAAAAGAAGAATTGAAGATGTGAAAATGGTTATTGAATTTCTCGACGTATTCCCTGAAGACTTACCCGGTTTACCACCTGTTAGGCAAGTGGAGTTCCGAATCAACCTTATTCCGGGAACCGCTCCAATTGCTAGAGCCCCTTACCGTTTGGCGCCATCCGAGATGCAAGAATTGATGTCTCAATTACAAGACCTTCTTAAGAAAGGATTTATTAGACTGAGTTCGTTATCGTGGGGAGCTCCAGTCTTATTTGTAAAGAAGAAGGACGACACCATGAGAATGTGTATTGATTACGAAGAACTCAATTAGACAACCATGAAAAACAAATATCCTCTTCCTAGGATAGATGACCTTTTTGACCAACTTCAAGGAGCAAGTTGCTTCTCAAATATTGACCTTCGTTCGGGGTATCACCAAGTGCGAGTAAAAGAAGATGATGTGACGAAGACAGCTTTTAGAACACGTTATGGGCACTATGAATTCTTGGTCATGCCTTTCGGTTTGACGAATGCACCGGTGGTATTCATGGATTTGATGAACCGAATGTGCTGACCATTCCTTGATAAGTCAGTGATAGTGTTCATTGCGACATACTCATCTATTCCAAGGACAAGTCGGATCATGAACAACACCTTCGAGAAGTTCTCGAAGTGTTAAGAAAAGAGAAATTGTATGGAAAATTCTCCAAGTGTGACTTTTGGTTAAAGGAGGTCCAATTCTTGGGTTACGTTGTCACTCGAGACGGGGTGAAGGTAGACCCATCCAAGATCGAGGCGATAATGAATTGGGAACCACCAAAGAATCCGTTAGAGATCCAAAGTTTATTGGGTCTGGCGGGTTATTACAGGAGCTTTATCCAAGACTTCTCCAAGGTTTCTTTTTCCTTGACGGCATTGACTAGGAAGAATGTGAAGTTTATCTGGACAAAGAAGCAAGAAAATTCTTTTAGAACTCTCCAAAAGAAATTATGTGAAGCCCCGATTCTCTCCTTGCCAAATGGTCTTCATGGTCAGCTGTAACCACGACATTATCATTCTTGGCCTTCTCCCCCTCTATGTCATCATCAACGGAGAGAGGGAGGTGAGAAACCAGGTTCTATAGTGACTACTCCATGGAGGCAATATCCTATGCTCGTCGAAGTTTGAGCTCAACGCCAATATTCGGTTGATGATGATCAACTTTTCTGAAGGTGGGTTCAGGGACAGGTGCTGGCTGTTGTAGAAGTTGGAAAATCCGTTCAAGTATCTCACCATGCTTGGTAAGCTGATCCCGGACATCCTGAGCCTTGCTGAAGAGAGCAGCGATAGCTTCGGAGTTATGCTAGATTCCCATCTTCATGGAGTTCAGCTCGCTTTTGATTTCATGAACCTCAGCTTGGACAACAGAGGGGTCATGAGCCAAGTCATTCTTCAAGGGCATTCCCTATTGAACTTCGTCCATCTTGTCAAGGACGGTCGCAACAACAGAGAGAAGCATCTTGACATTCCCAGCCATATCATTGGCGTCAATCTTAGTGACTGAAGTTCAATCTCCATAGGACCTGCAGAGAAAGGAGAACATTGAGCATGAAAAAGCTCAAAGTTAGTGGCAAAAAAAGAAAGGGAGGGGTTTTGGTACCTGAGGGTTCCTCAGCAGTATCTGAATGATTACCGTTGAGGCCGAGCGTCTCGAATGAACTGTCAAGAGGATCAACCACACGTTGCTGAGGGGAGTCGAGAGGAGCATCCCCAGATCTTGTGGTGATAGCTTCACCAATAGTAGGACAACCACCTTCGACACATCAACTCATATAATAGAGACCAAAGAAGGCGGAGAGGAGAGAATGGTTGAGAAGAGATATTAATGATCAGCAGTGCAATGTTCGAAGTCACACATTCAATGATTTAAGTCAATTGGAGTGGTTGGGATAGGTTCCACACATACGATAACAATTAAATAGATCACTAATTGGAAGGGATGGGAAAAGCATACGCCTCGGGGGTAAGGAGAATTTCAATAGATGAGACCTGTTGAGAGGTCTCAGCTAGCTGAGAGGACTTCCCCTTTATGGATTTCTTACTCCTCTTTGAGGGAATAAGAGTGGCTTCAGAGGGTGTCCTTTTCCGAGAGGATGAAGAGGTAGTAGCTGGGATAGACTAAGGGGGTTTGCCACAGTCATGGATACTGAAGAAAAAGGAAGAAGAGGAGTGTTGGCTATCCTCAGCATTAGAGGGAATAAACCAATGTCTAAAGGATTGGACTTGTGATGAAGAATCCTTGATCCAAGCCTGTAGAGGGGAAGGTCGCTCTTAGCGGGGTATTTTGTTGCAAGGATTCTGGCTAGAATCCCTCTCAGGAACCTAGTGTAAGGAACCACCTTTTCCCATTGACTCTTGTTCATCTTCAGTATCAAGTCGTCAAAGATGAGCTGAATTTAGTTGACGTTGATATATTTGATGACTGAACATCCAATGTTCAGTGCTATCTTGCTGGCCTGATCTTGGCCTCCTGTGTTCCCACCCATGCACTGAATAAAGTGAGAGAACAAGTATTTCCAGACCACTAACATCTGATTCTTCTCAATCTTGGTTAGTGAATTGTTGAGCTTTGAATCAAAGTCCTTCTTCAATGGCCAATCATAGTGAATATCGTCTAAAATTTTGACGATATGTTCACTATTTGGATCGCATGAGTAGGGATCTATCTTTGGGATCCGTAGAGCAGTACGAACCGTTGAGTAACCAAAATCACCGTCATGTTGTTGATCTCACAGAAGATCTTGATGATAGAGTTTCCTTCCTTGTCCTTCAAGGTGTTTGCTCAGCACTGTACCAGAACTATCTAAGGATATACTTCACCATGATAGGTTGGAAGGTGAGAGCATATACTTGAACACAGTTCTTGAGGAATGAAGCAGCATCCGCAAAGTGAGGTTTGCCTGTGGGTATCTCCAAAAGTGCAATATGGTTGTTTGGTTTGAAGGAATATTCTTCAATCTCATAGTGTAAATTAAGACGCAACCATTTCTGTTTTTGAGAGAGAGAAAAAAATGGAGTAATACACAAGGTTATGTTTGAAGGCACATTTGGGGTAAAAGTTAGAAGGATAAACTTTTCATTCAAAAAACCAAAAGAAAATAGGGTTTTCGAGATGATTTAGAAACACAGTTAATATAAATCAAGAACAAGAAGGGTTTATATAACCTATCATTTGTATTTAAAAAAAAAGAAGATTTTCAAATAAGAAACATGTTTCTTTAAAGATTAACAGCCAAAAAGTAGAAAATAAACCTGTTTTTGAGAGAAGAAGGAAGAACTGGTTTGAAGGAAGGTTTTTTTGGTGTTCTTGCTTGCACACAGTTAGAGAGAGAAATATTAGGTGCATGAAAATGTTCGCGTAAAGGGAAAAAGAGAGGGTAAGGGAGGTTTTTGTAGGTGATAGGAGAGAGAAAGAGGAGAAAAAACGACGTTTCTAAAAGATGTGCAATTATGATTTCTTCTGCACGTCATTTTAGAGTGATTGGTTCGGGAAGAGCAATGAACAAAGTTTGTAAGAAGGACGCGCGTGAAATTAGTCCATTTATTTAAAAAAATTAATGACGTCATAAAATATGACCGTTCATTAGCCTTTTTCTTTTAAAACAATTTAATCACTGATTAAGAAAGGTGTACAATGATAGTTTTATGTTTTGAAAAAGAAGAGATAAGTAGACAAATCTTGCAGAAAAATATATATTTAACTTAATAGTTCAGTGATAGATTAAGAAACACTAAATTATTTCACTTTGTATCACTGAGTGATGCTTAGAGCTGAAAGAATTAATCCTCGGCATTCAACATCCCAAGTTCGTTGAATAAAATATTGAATCTTGTTTCATCAAGAGGTTTAGTGAATAGGTCAGAAATATGATCTCTATATGTTTGGTCTTACAGTGAAGTACATGATTGTTTGCAATGGCAATGGCACTGGTGCTGTCGCAATAGATACAGATCTTAGAGAGTTGAAGATCATAATCACTAAGCTGATATTTCATCCAAAGAATTTGGGCACAACAACTTCCAATGACTACATATTCAACTTCAGTAGTTGATGTGGACACGGATTTTTGCTTTTTTGCTTGTCCAGCTCACCAACTTTACACCAAGAAGATGACAGCCTCCTATGATGCTATTCCTATCTATCTTGCAACATGCAAAATCACTATCTGCATAACCTATTAGGTCGAAACCTGAGTCTTTGGGATACCAAAGTCCTAGATTAGGAGTACCCTACAGATATCTGAAGATGCGGTTTACGGCAATCAGATGAGATTTTTTGGGTTCAGATTGATATCTTGCACAGTGATAGGTAAAATACATGATATCAGGTTGGCTAGCTGTAAGATACAACAAGGAATTGATAATTCTTCTGTAAGTGGTAACATTTACAGGTTTCCCATTTGGGTCCTTGTTATGCGTAAGAGGAGGAACCATGGGGAGTTCTGATAGATGAACTGTTGTTTAAATCGAATTTCTTCAA